CGATGATACTGATGCTGTCATAAAGAGAAAGCAGGCTAGCTTGAGGAACTTGATCAATACAAATACCCGTAGACAAAGCACTGATTATAAAGATCGGATTTTTAACAGATTGATGTCACCGATGCAAAGAATCCAGAGCTGAGCAGTACTTCGGTGGAGCCTCCACCATAGCCTATTCGACTGGAGTGATTTCTGATTTCTTGCCGTTCCGCGATGGCGTACGATTGTCGAGCCGAGCGTTACTGACTGTCGGCAATTCGGGAAAGTTTTGAATTTGGCTATAGCTTGGTGGAGGAGGATATGGTGGCGGTGCTTGCAGACCGGGCAGTCCCTAAAACAGATATTATCAAAACAGGTAGGCCGTTTGGGATTTACATGAATTTCGTCTTGTAAATGGAGAATCCTTCTTATATATAAAGCAGTAACTTGGTTTGTCGGTTTGTCGGTATGTCTGTTTGTCGGTATGTCGGTATGTCGGTTTGTCGGTCTGTCCGTCCGGGTTGCTTTGTGATTATGATAAACATAGTGATATGGAAAACTTATCCTACTTTATATAATTCGCTAAGTGTGTCCGTTGGTGTGTCGGTGTGTTTGTGGGTGTGTGTGTGTGTCGGTGTGTGTGTCTGACCGGAACTTCATAATTCCTGTCCCCATGGACCTAGAGCGCTCATATTTGGTAGGAGTAAAGGGGGCAGGACGGGAACACCTTTGGTAAGTGGCAGGACCGGACTCCGTTCACAGGGAGCAAGGCGTGCACAATAAAAATTTTAGGACGCAAATTCATAACTCCTGTCCCCGTGGACCTGGAGCGTTCAAACATGGTAGGAGCACAGGCGACAGGACGGGACTCATGGTGGGTGGCAGGACCAGAGCCCGTGCACAGGTGGCGGAGTTTTGCCCGAAATATTCAAAGCCATAGGTCCTTCAAACTTGGCAGGAGTACAGGCGGCAGCATGGGAACATTTATCGTGAGTGGGAGGACCGGACCCCACTCATAGAAGGCGAGGTTACGCCAAAATTTTCAGTTTGGCTCTAGGGCGTTTAAACTTGATGGGAGGCAGGCGGCAGTATGGGAGCACTTATGATGAGTAGTAGGGTCGGACTCCACCCCCTAGAGACGGGTTTTTTTTATAAATGAGTGGAAATCCATAACTCCTGATCCCGTGGACTTGGAGAGCAAAATCAGTAGGAGGAAGCAGGATGGAAACACTGACAATAGAAGAGGCCTCAGAGAAGAAGATCCACACACCAGTTGCCTCTCAGCGCCTTTGTTATTTACGATCTAGCTTTGACTTTTTGATATGTTTCATTCGACAAGAAGGTTAAATTGTGTTATTATAAGGAGAAGAATTTGGTTCATTTCTTGCTATTAGATTACGACCGCTAAACAGCAGAATTTGCGATTAAGTAACAGATCACGGTTTTTCTTTGCTTTGAAATCATTCCTAGCAAAATTTATCCGACCGGTAATAATGTTGGGTTCACATTTAATGATGTATCCGCAGAGAAAAGGAGGTACAACTTCAAAGGCATTTGATAGTCTATACTCTCGCTCAGCGAAATAACATATTAAAAAGGGGGAATTTCCTTAACTAGATATTTTTCGATCAAAGTCCTTTTGCCCCAAAAAGGAGGAGAGCCTTCGATGATGGCATTGAGGAACATTGATGGTAGCTAACATAGTAGCCTCAGCCGCGATGAAGTCTCTGAACACTTTTTTCTCTTAATAATCGCCTTTTTGATGTTAAACGATGTTCTTTCGGACACAGCGAGGTTGGCTTACAGAAAAAATCGCTCCTAATTCGTAGCTAATACTGAGGGTGTAGAGCTTTCAAAGCAAAAGGAGAATCCGAAGTGTTATTCACGCATAGCGAATTTCTCAAAGGAAGAAGGAGCGCCCGACGTAGCCGGGCGAACCCACAAGAAGGAGGGAAGCCTGGCGTTAGCCGGGCGGCCCGACTGGTGGAAGGAAAAATGAGGCGTCGGTATTGCTAAGCGTCAGTGCTCAGGCTTGTGGGGATCCCTAGTTCTGAGCCTCGCATAGTCGACGGAGACAAGGGGTATTAGGGAGTTAATATCGCGCTATGTACTAACAGAAGAAAGTATTATAACAGCTCAGTACCTGGATGTGTTTGGCATTCAACATCAGTAGTTCAGCCCTCTCTTCTTCACACAAGTGATTCTGTATTATTAAAGGTTGTGATTCAGAGCGCACCCCGAACACCAATGCTCAGATGTGAGAGGTCCCAAGAATTCTAACCCCTCTTTTCTAGCATCGCCTAAACCGACTAGTGCACCTTTGGAATAAATATTCTCGGATATTCACCTGAAAGCGCCTTGGATCCCGCATTGACAACTGCGGTGTGTTACTCATTGAATACGGTGGAACATACATTGGATACATAGCGGACGAGTCTGTGGCCATTACTTCCGAGTAATAACCTGCAACGGAAACGTTGGATAGTGATAGCAAACAACACATTCAAAACTCATTCGGATAAGCGCTATGGTAACCGACCGGTAACAAAGTTATTGCCTTACCTGGAGGCGGGATAAATGGCACTGGTTGTTGACTTGTCTGAATCTCGACGGATGCCGTCGAATGCGAATTCATCGGACGACGAACACGCCGTGCTTGCGTTGCCCAACTGCGTTGCAAATCAGAACGGCTGAAATGTTCGACTAATGATGATAGATATGTCACCGACATATTTTTCAATTTTAGAAATGAATTCAATTTGCCAATTTTATATTTCTGTGCAGAAGGAATGGTCCACTTAGGGTCACTCAAGCTAGAACTATTAAACTGGTCCAAGATGGAAGCAATTGACTACGTTCACTCGAAGAAAATCGATGCGCAGTAGAGTAGCACTTGGTACAGGGTAAATGATACCAGAACTGTTCACACCTCCTTTTCCTTTCGCACATTTTCACAGCACTAGAAGCACT